GCGGGCCCCCGGCCCCACGGGCGCATGTGTGTGTGAGCTGGTGACGTCACGGCGTGACGCGTCGCGAAGACGACGATCCGGCGAGCTTGAGAGTGGGCGAGCGACTGAGGGAGTTCGCGCGTTTTTTCTTCTCGCGTGTGCGCTGTCGCTGTCGCTCGTATCAACGGGTTTCTCATTCGCTGTAAATATAATATATAATAATGTAATCTTACCTCCCTAAAGATACGGTAAGAATCCCGATATTTGCCGTCGCTCTCGCTCGCATCAAATTGCTCTCGCTCGCACCAACGTTTCGTTTGTCGCATTCGGTCGCTGTTAGTTTAATAATAAAAAAAAAGATAAATGGAACAATAAATAATATTTTCTCTTCCGCAGTTATACCGCGTCCTTAAGGATATGATAAGAATCTATTTTATGCAGTTTTATAAATAGTTTTTTTCGCGTGCGCGCTGTCGCTCTCGCTCGCACCAACGTTTCGTTTGTCGCATTCGGTCGCTGTTAGTTTAATAATAAAAAAAAAGATAAATGGAACAATAAATAATATTTTCTCTTCCGCAGTTACACCGCGTCCTTAAGGATACGATAAGAATCCATTTTATGCAATTTTATAAATAGTTTTTTGTCTAATACCACATGCATCCTCTTTCGAGCCCTTAAAGATTTTCCGTTATGCAGTTTTGTGCAGTTCTGTCACTTTGATAGATACCACAAAGATGTGATAAGACACTATTGCATCCTCTTTCAGGATGCGTTCTCTCTCGTATGACGTTGTTTCACTCTTCATAAGGGTGTCTATTTTTATGTAGTTTTTTTTGCGTCCTCGATAGAAACCACATCCGTCAACATGTCCGATGGACAATAGTATATAAATGCGTATGGGCGAGGCTTTTTTTCGTCACACATATATATTTGGTTTCGAACGTATTAATATTATTTGTGTACTATTACGATGGAGTCTCGAAGTAAAGAGGTCGAGGAGCTACCGACGAGATCCACTGAGAAATCGTTTGAACAACTATTAGAGGAAGAGGAAGAGGAAGATGTGTTCGATGAAACGTTTATGGGTTCTATAATCGATTTAATACATCAGACGTGGATTACGAATACGTTTGTAAAAAATCTGCGAATGATGATTGGATGTATACAGACCTATATGGTACATCAGCGAAAGATAGATCCGAATACGTATGAGGGAGGCAAAGACGATGAAAGATGCATTAATGTCATTTTTGAACGTATTGAAAACGAGAGATTTGCTGAATTCTACGTATTCGGTGGAAGAGCTGGATCGTTTCCTCTCTACCTCCGAGAGCAAAGTGTTGCATCATTTGTTTATGGAAGATTTCATGACGAGAAATACATACTTCGAATGCATACACGATCTGAAGGAATACGTTAGATGTCACATGGCGATACTTATCGATGCGCCGAACATCGATCGTGAGATTTTT